CAGGCCCACAACGCTGTAATTAACCAGGATAAAAATACTTTGCCTTTGTTTAATATTTTCTGGAGTTGTGCATTCCTCAAATCAGATGCTAGAAACCTCATTAAGGCGCGCTCGTGTCCTCAAGGCCCACATGTTCTCCACAACCAGACCTAGTTATAGAATTAGGAGCCATTTTACCGCAATGCTCCCAGCTTGCCACAGCAGCAGGCAGGCACGGGGATGGCAGCGGTGACACTGCGGCCACAAGCCAGTGGGAGCAGAGGAACCTTCTCCTACATCCCCCTACAAGCTGCCACCCTGTCTACTGACACCTAAACCTAACACTCCCATTGGCCTGTGTTTAAAACTGGGCTTATCCTCACTTATCCACCGCTCTTTTCACAGGTCCAACTCTTGTTCTGATCCATCACACCAGTGCCACCGCTGCAGGAGCCACCTTGCTTAACAAGACCTCCTCCTCACTCCCTCTTCTGCCACCAAACCCTTGGCCAAGGTGATGATGTGCTCCTTGTCTCTCTGATCCTGGATTTGGAGATGTGTCTGTTACCCCAGCTTTGGAGATTCGGCACGGCTCTGACTATAAAAAGGGGTGAACAAGGCAAGCGATGCTCAAGGGAAGCAAAGAGCATCAGCCACCAGCATCCCAACCACACACTCGCCAGCATTAGCTCAGTCAATGCTTCAGCTAGGGAATGAAAAACTGGAGAAAAAGGAGGAAACCCCCCCCAACAAAACCCCCTCTCTGAAATCCAAGGCTTCATCTGCCCTGCTCTTCTTTGGCTTCGTTTTTGTTTTTACAAACGGGGCTCTTGGAAACCTTGGCAATCACTATTTTAAAGGGCTCCCCCTTCCCCCAGGCCTTTGTAAGGCTGCCGGGATCTACACGCCAGGAGCAGGATTAGCTGGCTTCTCTCTTCCATCTTATCGTTTTATTATTCTGCACCTTTTGAGGGTACAGTTTATCCCGAGTAATTAAAACACAGTTAGCTCTACAAGTCCAAACCATAATGGAATAGCTTAGGTTTTATTTTTTTTTAATCTCTTTTTTGTGTGCCCTCTTTTCCAGGAAGCCTGATACTATAGCTGGCTAATTTAAAACAGGAAACTCCCTTGAAACATCCTGGTGTGGAAGAGGTATTTTAGCACAAATGTGGTATATCAGAGCATAACAGCGGGGCTGGGCAGCGCCACACTCCCAACCCGCCTCCTCCCTGTGTGACCCCTACCTCAGCATCCTGATGTGGTTCAAGTCTTCTCCCTACAGAAACCAAGCAGGAAAAATTGGTGCCCAGTGCTGGTGGAAAATAGGAAGCTGCTCCTATTTTCACTTTTCCAACTGGGATGATTCCTGCAGCACAGGAATTAGGTACAGTAATAGCTGCTGCTGCACTGTCCCAGTCCTGCCCTCGCCTTTGGAATTTATTTTGTTCTGTTACTGCATGAACTGGCCCCATGACAGAGGAGGAAAAAAATGCGTCCAAGGGTATAATCCCATTGCTCTGAGGAATAACGCCACGAGCCCCGGCGCTGAAGGCAAAGCCACGTTACTCACCGCGTGCTCCACAGCACAGGGGAAGCACAAAGCAAAATAGAAACAAAACCAGCGTGTGGGAAAACAGCCTGATTTCTGTTTGGTCTGACTCTAACAGCAGCCAGGGCATAAGGCCCTGCTCCTGCCGGCTGGGAGACCCTGGACCTTGTTCCCAACCCTGGTCCCACTCCCCCTCACCCACCCAGAACCAGCCACAGGGACTTGAAGCATGGCAGAGAGAGCGCACAGGCTTTTGAGGCTCATTTCCTACAACTGGCTCATCCACTTGTCTCAGCAAGTATTTCTAATACTAAAATAGTAACACTGCTACCAGTCTGCTTCCCTCCTTTTTCACACGGCTTGGTAAAAAAGCTTGGAAAATATTGATTATCTGCTTGATACCTGGCAGCTGACATGCCAAGGGGATGCTGGGCTGCTGCTCTTTGGGATGGGACAGCATGTGGGATGAGCCTGTTCTCAGTACCAGGGAAAGCCTGGCTTCAGGTAACAGAAATGGTCATACTTGTCAAATCTTCTCCCTTGCTTAGGAATACATTCAAACAGCTCTGAGGAAACACACTGCAGCAGCTCTGCAACACACCAGTGAAATAGTTGCAAAATTAGCCCAGCACTTTCAGCACAGAACCGTAGCGGGGAGACCGGCTCCAGGCGAGAGGATGCTCCGTGTGGCCAGCGCCAGCGGGAAGATGTCCCTCCCTGGGAATCACCCGTGGATCAAAGCTCCTGCCACAAACACCTGCAGCTCCGACGGGGAGGCCACTGTGCCAAGGCTGAGCCTCCACGTGGGATGCCGTGAGCTGCCTCCGTACGGGATGCAGGCACGCCAGCGACCCGGCTGGGCACCTCCTCCTCTGGTCCCAAGTCCTCTGGCTCTGGACCTCCACCTGCCCCTGCTCCTCAGCAGGGCCTGAGCCTTGCCAGATGCCCGAGGAAGCCTTCTCCATATGGGAAGGCAGAGGGAAGGGGCCTTGTGTCCCTGTGCCCACCCTGGCGCTGAGCTGGCAGCTCCTGGCCGAGCACCACCAAAGTGAAGCCACCTCTTCAAAGGCACGTCCAGGAACTTGCGCTGCCACCTCTTAACCCCGGCTTCTGGAAGGGCAAGAGAGGGGCCTTCCTTAGTTCTGGGCATGGTGTTTCTAATGGGGAACTAAAATAATATAAAGACCCCTCTCAACTGCTTTTCCCTTTTTGACAGCGATGTGCAGAGCAAGGCTGGCAAAGGAAAGTGGGGGGTCACTTCAGGCAATGTGGATAAAATTCTTCTTTTGTTCTTTTTGCAGGTATTCCTAATTACCAACATACGTGAAAATTATTTATTTGCTGTTTTTCTCCCTCCCTCCAAATGTCCTGTGTTCATCACTTTAAAAAATATACTCTAAAAAGCCACTGCAGAGGGAACATTCACCTCACTGAAGACTAACTCCCAGACTGACCTCCTAACCCCTGCTTGGGCAAGAGCTGACACTTCCTGTCCCACGGATGACCATCCCTCTCGATGACCCACAGCCAGTGACCCAGTCATTGCCACGGGATGGGTGTCACCAGTGCATGGCTAATGTAGCCACTGGGCTCCTTGGCAGCCGCCTCAGCCACTCAGCCAAAAAGGGCTAAACCCACTGTAGCAGATGATAAAAAGAGCCTGGGACACAGCCCATGAATGATGGCATGGGCGAACCTGCCCATGCCATACCTGGAGACCAGCACCAAGCCCATCACATGCATCACTTTCTGTAGCGTGCTACACAGATAAATAAATGAAGCCCCAGAGACTAAAGCCTGATGAACAAGCCCAAAACTCCCCACATTGGCTGGAGAAGGACCAAGCAACCATTGAAGG